CCCAAACACCCTAGCATTTACTTCCTTTACAACCCCATCTATAAATATATTAAACAACCATGGTGACATTACACAACCCTGTCTAAGACCTACTTTTACCGGGAAGTAGTCTCCCTCCTCTCTCTACACACCCTAACCTGAGCCTCACTATCCTCATAAAAACTCTTTACAGCATTTAATAACTTACCACCTATTCCATATACTTGCAACATCTGCCACATTGCTCCTCTATCCACTCTATCATATGCCTTTTCTAAATCCATAAATGCAATAAAAACTTCCCTATCTTTATCTAAATACTGTTCACATATATGCTTCAATGTAAACACCTGATCTACACATCCCCTACCCACTCTAAAACCTCCTTGCTCATCCGCAATCCTACATTCTGTCTTACCTCTAATTCTTTCAATTATAACCCTACCGACACTTTTCCTGGTATACTCAGTAAACTTATTCCTCTATAATTTTTACAGTCTCTTTTGTCCCCTTTCCCTTTATATAAAGGGACTATACATGCTCTCTGCCAATCCCTAGTACCTTCCCCTCTTTCATACATTTATTAAACAAAAGTACCAACCACTCCAACACTATACCCCCCCTGCTTTTAACATTTCTGTCATGATCCCATCAGTTCCAGCTGCTTTAACCCCCTTTCATTTTACGTAATGCCTCACATACCTCCCCCACACTTACATTCTGCTCTTCTTCACTCCTAAAAGATGGTATACCTCCCTGACCAGTGCATGAAATTACTGCCTCTGTTTCTTCCTTAACATTTAAAAGTTCCTCAAAATATTCTCGCCATCTACCCAATACCTCCATCTCCCCATCTACTAACTCCCCTACTCTGTTTTTAACTGACAAATCCATATTTTCCCTAGGCTTTCTTAACTTGTCTAACTCACTCCAAAATTTTTTCTTATTTTCATTAAAATTCTTGACAGTGCCTCTCCCACTCTTTCATCTGCTCTCCTTTTGCACTCTCTCACCACCTCTTTACCTTTCTTTTACTCTCCATATACTGCTGCTCTTCTTATAACACTTCTGCTTTGTAAAAACCTCTCATAAGCTACCTTTTTCTCTTTTATCACACCCTTTACTTCATCATTCCACCAATCACTCCTCTTTCCTCCTGCCCCCACCCTCCTATAACCACAAACTTCTGCCCCACATTCTAATACTGCATTTTTAAAACGTATATAGATTTTTTAACACACCAGCTATATCCCACTGAGGTAGCATGAGCTGAAAAAGAAGAAACACTTTTACTATCACTCACTCTATCGCTCCACCAGCAACAACAGCCTGACTGACCAGGAAAGCACCAGACAAGGCCAGGCTATATGAGTAGAAAAACTCTCAGAACTCATTACAGGTATATCAAAGGAAAAAGGGATACATTTTTTTTTTCCTTTATATTAAACACAAGGGCCCAAACCTTTCCCACTGAAGTAGGGTGACCTCAAAAAAAGGGAAACACATTCACCATCATTCATTCAATCACTATTTGCAGAACACTGACATCACAGTTCACATGAACCTCTGAACTGTAACATCCCCACCCACCTTTTTTTAATGTTAATATAAATACAGGGGACCCCCCCCCTAACGATATTATTTCAATCCAGAAGTCTGTTTGGGTGCCGTTATAGACCGAATTTGTTCCCATAAAGATATTGTGAATTAGATTAGCCCCGTTTCAGACCCCCAAAAAAATACACCTACAAAAGCATTTACAAAAATACACTTACATAATTGGTCGAGTTGGGAGCTGATCTTTTATGCGGGGGCCCCACTGTAACTAAATTTTACCTTTTTCCCCCAGTATATCTCTTTTGACTTTTTATTTGCTTTTCACACAGTTGAGCTGCTTAGCAGTCTTAAAGGGTTTAAAAACAGTGATATTACAAGGATCCCAATGGAAATAAGTCACTTTGTTGGGTTATCCTAGGTAATCCACACATACATTGGCTATGCAAAAAGATCACAGTAAACAAGTGATAAACACAATATGCAGAACAACCACTGTGAAACAACAGCGAAATTCCAAGTGCTTTCTTGAGAAATCATTGAAGTGCTTGGAATTTCACTATTTTTTTCACAGGGGTTTCTTCTGCATGTGCTGCTATAATGATAATTTATGCAAATGTTTTGGGATGTGTAACCTGAATAAACTTACACCCATGACCAGTTTATTGTCAACTGAACAACCAGGCTGTTGGTGCATCACTAAAACTGTATTACTAACCTTTGAGTGCGCCCTTCCATCCGTATTTAGCGAATTCGACCAAGGCTTCAGATTAGGGGTTGTCTCAGAGGCTTCATCCTTGGATTTAATGGGAGATGTTATCTTCTGAGTTGGTTTCAGAAAAAATCTTGCATGCTGGGGCAGATTATCCAGTACACTGCTGCCACTGTCAACACTGAAGCTGTTATGTCTTGTGGAATACTGGAACTGGTAGCAGAATATTTGGTGGGTATTTAATGCTTTCACTGATTTTGGTGGGACTGGCACCAGTACAGCCCTTTCAGAGGACTAGAAAGTGTAGTCTCGGGTAAAAAGACTCACCTCTACTCATTTTCTTTTTCTTTTCTTTTTTGACTTACGAGTTTTAGTTTTAACCATCCCAGTATTGGTCCACTGCAGGAACTTTTTCCATCCTCAGTTTCTTCACTTCTGTCTTCTGTACTTTTGTCACTTAAAGAGAATTATCAGTTTCTTTAAGGAGTTTAAAATCTCCTTTTTTAAACACACTTTGAGTTCCCTTGTTTATTTATTTTTCTCTTGTCTCTAATTGCCCGAATTTTCAGATACAGAGTGGACAGCAGGATCAACTCCGAAGGTGTCATGTTTCAGCAGTAGATGCAAGATCAAAGATATCGTCGTCATAGCCCGTTTGTCCCTTGTCCTCACCACTGTCTTTGTCTTCTGGGGTGGCAAATGGAGGAGCCATACTGTTGGCAAATGAACCAGAAATTAAAAACATTGGGGATCCTTGACTTACAATGGTTCGACTTATATTTTGACATTACAATGGTGAAAAAGCAATTACTTCGGAGATGAAACTCAAGACAACTACCAAACATGAAGGTGGTAAGTCTGTAACTTCTATTCATTTATTTACTTTTCAAAACGGTACAATGGCACCCCGAGTTTCGGAAACTGCTCCAACTCGGACCAATTTTGTAAGTGTATTTGTGTAAATGTGTTTGTAAGTGTATTTTTGGGGCTGAAACGGTCTAATCTAGCTGACATTATTCCTTATGGGGAAAAAATTCATTCGGTATTGGCACTCGAACAGCATTCTGGAATGAAATAAGTTCGAAACTCGGGGTACCACTATATTTGATTAGACAGTAATTATTTGTCTATTACTTATACAGTGATAGTAGTTATTTATTTATTTATTAATTTAGCATATCATGTTCATATCTGACTCATGATATTTTCAAATTATGATGGGTTCATTGGAATGTAACTCATCGGAAATCAAGGAGCACCTGAATTATAATGTACAGTGTAGGTTCTCCCTCAATGTATCTGTGCAGACACTTTTCAGGGGTAGTCAAGCAAATTTAATACAAAGCTTAGGATGCATCAATCTGGTTGGAAGAGGGGGGCTAGGGGACTAGTCTTTAACTCTTTCAAGGTCAAGACCCCTGATCTCAAACTTACTCTCAGTGTCGAAGAATTTAAAAAAAATTATTTTATCTCATGAAATGATAGAGAATCTTTTACCAAAGATAATGGAACCAAAAGTATGAAACTTGATGGAAAACTTACAGAATTATGCTCTTGCAAAGTTAGCGGTCTTGGCGATATTTACGCATTAGTGATTTCACCCAATTTGAGCCCTATTTTGGGCTAATTCCATTGTTCCAGTCGACCAAACTCATAGCTATTTCACTAGTATTCCTTCTATTCTATTGACTGAGTACAAAAAACTGCCCATTTACCTATTTCAACTACCCAATAAAGTGATCAGAAATTGGTAATTTGGCTAATTTCACACAAAATTAAAAATTTACCAATTTAAAAATAGGGTCCAGACTGAACAATGTAGACATTCCTGGTAATAAAAAAAAAACATTTCCTCTGTTCATCAGTTACGTCCCCAAGCCAATTTTATATTACATTTGCTTTCCATTTAGAATTTTTATTTACACAAAATCTAATAGATTTACTGTTACGCAGACTACTGTATTATTGTAATAATTGCTTAAATAATGTCGGTGCAATCCTAAATGCATAATAGACTGGCCAGTTGGACGTATATTGGAAGAGTGATGTCATTTGTGTTCTCTGGAATATTGGTAAAAACTGAACATTTCTGCTACTTTGAGCTCAATTTCAAGCTACTTTCAATTTTGAAACCAATCAAAATCATCTCTATTTCTGTATTATATCTTCCATTCTATCAAATGAGGAAAAGTAATCGAGAATACAACCATTAAAACCATACGAAAAATCCCCTGCAAAATTGCAGTTTTAAATCAAAAACATGGTCACAGTTTTTTTACTCCTCACAACTTATCTGGGCGAGCTGAACTCATGGAGTAGAACTATGGGACCGTTACTGGCGTCAACGGGACTGACCCCAAGAAGGTTAATATTTTATATGGTTTTGTAAAAATAACAGTACAGTGGACCCCCGTTTAACGATATTTTTTCATTCCAGAAGTATGTTCATGTGCCAGTACTGACCGAATTTGTTCCCATAAGGAATATTGTGAAGTAGATTAGTCCATTTCAGACCCCCAAACATACACGTACAAATGCACTTACATAAATACACTTACATAATTGGTCGCATTTCGAGGTGATCGTTAAGCTGGGGTCCACTGTATACCTTTTTTTTTTTTTAACAATTCGGCCATCTCCCACTGAGGCAGGGTGACCCAAAAAGAAAGAAAATCCCCACAAAAGAGGATACATTCATCATCATTCAATACTTTCAGCTCACTCACACTTAATCACTGTCTTTGCTGAGGCGCCCAGACACAACAGTTTAGAAGCATATACAGCGGTGCTCTGAGTTTCGTACAGCTCCCAACTTGAACAATTATGTAAGTGTATTATTGTAAGTGCTTTTGTAAGTGTAATTTTGGGTGTCTGAAATGAACTAATGTAATTTCCATTATTCCTTATGGGAACAAATTCGTTTGGTAACAGCACTGGAACAGCCTTCTGGAATGAATGATGGCCGAAACTCAGGGGTATCACTGTATAAAGATATATAACATACCCCTCCAAACAGTATATAACTTACTTAAAAAAAGAGTAGTTAATTATTTTTGTCAGTGAGGCCAGAGCAGATTTCTTGTAAAACATCTGCTTCTTCTCTTGAGGAGTCCAGATGGTTTTCACCATAGGCTTGTCAATGAACACTATTCTCTGACTCCTTTCAATTCCATCCACATCTGTTGAAAAAATAAATTAATAATAGAAACTAATTAAATCACGCTTGGGAAAACAATAAAAATCAATCTAAAAAAAAAAAACACACCTGCACTCCCTGGAACACAGGCAGGAGAGATACATGATTATATACACCTGGAAAATCCTAGAGGGACTAGTACCGAACTTGCACATGAAAATCACTCACAACGAAAGCAAAAGACTCGGCAGACGATGCAACATCCCCCCAATGAAAAGCAGGGGTGTCACTAGCACGTTAGAAGACAATACAATAAGTGTCAGGGGCCCGAGACTGTTCAACTGCCTCCCAGCATACACAAGGGGGATTACCAATAGACCCCTGGCTGTCTTCAAGCAGGCATTGGACAAGCACCAAAAGTCGGTACCTGACCAGCAGGGCTGTGGCTTGTACGTTGGATTGCGAGCAGCCAGCACTAACAGCCTGGTTGATCAGGCTCTGATTTACTAGGATGCCTGGTCACAGACCGGGCTGCGGGGGCATTGACCCCCGGAACTCTCTCCAGGTAAACACACACACACAGAAGTATAATAATACTATACTTGTGCCTGCAAAATGAAGTGTAAAGAAATAAAAAAATCTACTTATATTTCTTTTATTAAAATTTCATTTTTTCCACAAGCAACGCAACTTTCCAAAAAAATATAATTACCTTTAACAACATGAGAGCCAACTCTAACAGGAATATTCCACTCTTTATCAAAATTTTGACCATAGTTATCCACCAATATCTTCAAGGCACTGGAAGAGATGACGATATCTGCGCAGTGTTCCTTGGCCAGGTAGAGAGCATTCTCATCCTCACTTACTGTAAAGATATTCTTGTTAGGTTCAACAAGAACTAAGTTGTGTGTACAATGCCCCTCTCTTTGTAATACAGGCACTCCTCACTTAACAACTGAGTTGTGTTCCTACAACTAGGTCGTTAACTGCATTGGTTGATAAGCGACAAGCATACTGTACTAGTAATGGGTTTGTGTCAATCATCTTTAGATATTGTTTTAATGTTACCTATGCACTATTTACAACATTTATAGTATATTTTTAAATGTTTATACAGTAGTGTACAGTATACTGTAATAAACAGAATAGAGGAAATCAACTCTAATACATTACTTAGGTTTATACTGGTCAGACAGATGGTCGTAAGTCCAAGCAGTTGTTAAACAGATAGGATGTTAAGTGAGGAATACCTGTACAGTAGGACCCCTGCATCTGCAGGTCTGGTGTCCACAGTTTCAGTTATCCATAATTTACCATGGCCTGAAAATAATCCTTAATTTTGCTTAACAATGGCCTCAAAGTACAAAAGTAGAGAAGCTGGCAGTTCTTCAAAGCCTAAGAGAAACTGTGAAATGCTTCCCATCAGTGAAAAAGTGATAATTCTTCACTTACTGTGCATAATTTACCAATTAAACTTTATAATAGGTATGTATAGAACTTATACATAGGGTTTGCTACTATCCACGGTTTTGGCATCCATGGCAGGACCTTGGAATGTATCCCCCACAGATACGGGGTCTTACTGTAATTTAAAAAAATATTTTTTTTTATTTTTTTATTAACACATCAGCCAATTCCCACCAAGGTAGGGTGGTTTTCCCCCCCCCCCCCCAAAAAAATAAAAACTTTCATCATCATTCACTCCATCATTGTTTTGCCAGAGGCACGCTCACATCAGTTATAAAACGCAACATAACACTCCTCCTTTAGAGTGCGGGGCACGTATTCCCCATCTCAGGACTCAAGTCGGGTTTCCCCGGTTTCCTAATCCCTTCAAAAGTTACCTTGCTCACACTCCAGCCCGTCTTTCCAAAACCCCCATTTGTTTCTTTGCTCCTTTAAACCCCACACAGCTTGTTGGAATCCAAGCCCCTTGCATACAAAACCTCCTTTACCCTCCCCTTTCCCAAACCCTTTTTCCGGGTCGCCCTTCCCCCCGCCTTCTCCCACCCCAAATTCTTTCTTTTTTCACTCCATCCTCCTCATTTTTCTCTTTTCTCTCCATATTCCCCCCCCTGTAATCACCTTCTACTTTGAAAAAACCCTTCATACTAACTTTTTCTACTTACTCTTCTTTGATATCTGTCATTTTTAAGTAGTGAAAGTTTTATATTATCCCCTAATACTAAAATTATGTTGGTGTCTTTTTTTTGTACTTAAAAATTTTTTGTAACTTTAAAGTCGCACACTGAAACCCCTGTGGGGCAAACTACACCCCGGGGGCCCTGCGGCCCCCCAAGGTTTTCATGAGGCCCCCCAAATTTTTTTTAAAAAAAAATTGTTTTTTTTCCTTTTTAAAAAACTTTTTTTTTGTCTTTTTTAAATATTTCTTATTTAAATATCTATCACCCCCTAAAAATTGGAATTTCTGAATGTGCACCTTACTAAAAAGTTTGCTCACCCTGCTGTATACATGAAAAGGGAATACATATTTTATCTGTATTGGGATACCTGAAAACGTGTGTACAGTACCTTCTGTGTTTATTACAATTAAAACCGTGTACTGGTATTGAAGAGTAGAGCAAAGGAAGGGTGTAGCAGAAATGTAAATTTATCATTATGGAAGGAAAAAAAATTGAATTTTAAAATTCAAGAATTATGTGGATTAAAGTAAAGGTTTGGGAGGAGAAGTGGTCATAAAAACGTTAGCCCCTGGAGAAGAAGAATGCAGAGGAGAGAAGAGTTTTTGGAGATGTTAAGTGAATGTATAAGAGCCTTAAACCCAAGTAGAGAGAAATTTTGTGGTAGGGCCCCTAAGCTAAAGTAGGAGAAACTTTTAGAGGGGGTTTTGGGTAGAAGTTTGGGTGCCAGGTAAAAATGAAATGGAGCCTTGATTAACTTTGATGAAAGGGGTTTAGTTATGGGTAAACTTTTTTTAAAGAAAAAGGGGGATAAATAAGTATACACGATAGATTAGGGCAAATGACAGAGTTGTTGGTTATGAATTTGGGTAGATAAAAGCTTTTGGGAAAGATTTCAGATGTCATTTTTTATAGGGGGGCCACAGTATATCAATCACTTTAGTTGTAGCACACGAGAGTAAAAGGTAATGGGATAAAAGGGGAAAATAAAAGCATCAGGGAAGAGAGGGGTGAAAGTTTATAAACTAAAAAGGAGGCATTTGGGAAATATAACAGTTTTGGAGATGAGGGCTAATAGAGCAAGCCAAGGGGGTCAAAGAGGAGGGGGTAGTTTTAAAAATGTAGTGTTAGAGGTTCAGCAAAGTTTGTGGTTACAGGAAGGGGGCAGGAGGGAAGGGAGCGATTGTAAAGTGATGTAAAGGAGTAGAAGGGAGAAAAATTTACATTGAGAAGTTTTTACAAAGTAGAAGTGATGCAAGGGGGGAAAGATTTTGGAGAAAAAGAGAGAGGTTAAGGAGGGTGAAAAAGAAAAAGAAGCAAATGAAGAGTGGGTGAATGTTATCAACAAAAATTTTTTTGAAAATAAAAAAATTTTGGAGTGGATTAAAAATTTAAGAAACCTAGAGAACAAATGGATTTGTCTTTTAAAATAGGAAGGAGAGTTTTAAAAATGGAGAGTTAAGGTTTTTGGGAAATGGAGGGAATTTTTTGGGGAAATTGTTAAATGTTGATGAAAAAGGGAACTGTGATTTCGTGAAGGGCAAGGAGGAATAACATTTTGGGGGTGGGAAACCAGTGTGATGGGGGGAAGTTTTGGGGGGCAGTAGGTAAAATGAAGGGGGGAAGCACCGGATTGAGGGGGAAAGTAGAAATTTTTAAAAACAGGTGGGGATATAGTTTTGGAGTGGTGGTGCAATTATTTAATAAATTATGGAAAGGGTTTAAGGGACCTAGGGATTGGCGGAGAGCATAGTTTTTTTTTAAAGGCAAAGGGGGTAAAAGAGATGCAAAAATTATGGGGGATAAGTCTGTTTAGTTACCTGGTAAAGTGTTGGTAGGTTATAAATTTAAAAATTAAATAAGAGGGGAATAGGAACAGATAACAAGGGGGCTTTAGGAAAGGTAGGGGTGTGTGGACCAGGTGTTTACAGGAAACATAAAATTAACAGATTTTTAAAAAGGCTAAAAGGTCTTTTTGGGATTTTGGATTTGGAAAGGCATGACAGGGGGGAAGGGGGGCAATGTGCGATTTTCAATGTTGTTTTAGGATTTGGGTTCTGAAACGGAAGATTTTTTTTCGAGGAATGAGGCTCAATTAGGTATTTTGGAAGAGGGAAATTTTTTTCCAGTAAAAATAGGCCTTAACAAGGATGTTGGTGCACCCCTGGTTGTTTAAAATATTTTGATGGGGGTTTTAAAGGGAAATAAATGCGAGGGTTTGGGAAAAGGCGTGAGTTAAAAGATAAAGAACACAAAAAGTGGAGTTGTCACAGCTCCTTTTTGCTGATACACTGGCTTTTGGGATTTCTGAAGAGAAGCTGCGAATTGGTGGATGAATTTTGTAGGGGGGTGCAAAAGAAAAATTAAAGGTGAATAAAGGAAAAAGTAAGGTTATGAGGGTAACAAAAAGATTAGATATGAAGATTGAATATCAGATGGAGCAGAGAGTATGGAGGGGGTAACGTATTTAATATTTTGGGGGACTGTCAGCGGTGGGGCATGAAAAATAGGTGAAACATAGAATTTATGGGGAAAAAGAGTGAGGGGTCATTTGGAGTCTGTGGAACAAAGAATTTGTCCTTGGAGGCAAAAGGGGGAAAGTATGAGAGTATAGTTTTACAACGTCTTTAAAAGGGTGTGAACGTGGGGGATGAATGTTTTCAGCAGGGAACTGAGCAGTGGAGATGTCATTAGAGGCAAGTGTGTGTGAATAAACAGAGAATTCGTAGTTTGGAAGTTAGGGGGAGGTGCGGGATTACCAAAAATGTTGTCCAGAGGCTGAGGAAGGGTTTTTTGAGGGGGTTCGGGACATGAGAGAGAATGGGGGAAACAGAAACTTCAAAGTGTATCAGCTGTATGGGAAAGGAAGGCGGGGGGGGGTCGGCCCCAGGGAAAGGGTTGGGGGGGAGGGGGTAAAGGAGGGTTTTTGTGCGAGGGGTTGGACTTCCAGCAGGCAGCGGGGGCGGTTTTTATAGGAGTGAATGGAGACAAATGGTTTTTAATCTTGACGGCGTTTGGGGTGGGGGCAAAGTAACATTTTTGAGGGTTCAGGGGGAAACCGAGGCCGGGCTTTGGGCCTGGGGAAGGGAAGTACAGTGCCGCACTCGAAGGAGGGGTGTTAATTTTCAGTTTTTAAAAATGTATGTAAAGCCCCTTTGGCAAACATGGGGATGAATGATGGGGGAAAATTTTTTTTTTCGGGCCCCCCCTGCCTGGGGAATCGGCCATGTGATAAAAAAAAAAAAAAAAAATTTATTAGGTTTTAAAAGAATATTTTAAGGTTTTCTGAAATTTTTTAAAATTATTATCCCCCAAAGGAAGGTTCCCCTTTATGCTGGGAGGGCTTTGATCCAAGGGAAAACTGAACCTGTCTCAATGCTTGAATCAAGTCTGAAACCTTTCTCCTCCCAACCTGTATGCCCGTGGGTTTTTTGCACTCCCCCACAAACATAATAAAAATGGGGGCACAAAGGGGAAATTTCCCCTTTTTAAATCCATTATAAAAGAAGGCGACAGCATTAAAAGGGGAAACACTAAAAATGTAGGGGACAACAGCGCGAGGACATTTAGCGTAACCGACCTGGAGTCTTGTAGAGGAGGCTTGAAATCTTTTGTCCTCTTTAGTCGCATCTCAATTTTTATACGTTTCACGATTGGACTTGTTTAGGGTTGGAATTAGGGAGCTTCAACCATGGGGATTTTTACCCTGAAATAAATCTTGAGGGGAACTTAAAGTGATCAAACACAAACATAAGTCATAATACCATGGCATTAAGTTGGAAATTTGACGAAAAGACATACGAAAAAGTGTGTGAAATAATCAAACAATGTTTTGCCATGGAAAAAAGATTCATATGGAAAAAGTGAGCTTTATCAGTACCCTGTTTCACATACATAAAGCTTTATCAACCACCTGATACATACAGCAAAAGAACATAAGAAAGGAGGATCACTGCAGCAGGCCTGTTGGCCCATACTAGGCAGGTCCTTCACAATCCATCTCACTAACAAAACATTTGCCCAACCCAATTTTCAATGCCACCCAAGAAATAATAAGGTCTGATAACTCTATCCACTCATTTGCAAGTCCCACTCAAATCCAACCCCTCTCACTCATATATTTATCCAACCTAAATTTGAAACTACCCAAAGTCCTAGCCTCAATAACCCAACTAGGTAGACTGTTCCACTCATCAACTACCCTATTTCCAAACCAGTACTTTCCTATGTCCTTTCTAAATCTAAACTTGTCTAATTTGAATCCATTACTTTATCAGTACAAGTGGTCACCTACACAAAGCTTTATTTAACCACCTAATACATACAGCAAAAGAGAGGTTTATCAGTATCATGCATAAAGAACTTGATAAAGCTTCATGCAAAAGAAATATCACACTAATAAAGATGTGGTTATTTATCCACTTTTCATTACAGCCTCTCTTCAATTAGCAATGTACTCGTTTACCGACGCCTCGGACTTATGATGGGCTCTCTGACCAGTATTTATACCTAAATAATGTATATTAGAGCTCATTTCCTCTATTCTATTTATTTCAATATACAGTATACTACTGTATAAACATTTAAAAATATACCAGAATTGTTATAAATGGTGGAAAGGTGACATGAAAACAATATCAAAGATGGTTGACACAAACCCACTACCATTACAGTATGCTCTTCACTTAGCGACGAATTTGTTTAATGACATGGGCTTAGCAACAGAACTCCATCATTAAGTGAGGAGAGGCTTTATTTATTTTTATATCCACATATAGGTTGGTAGACAGCAACCACCCAGGAAGTACACCCCGCCAGATGACTTGTG